GGATTTTGAGTGTAACTGTACAGTCTGTCTTAGAAGCTGCTGAATACCGGGAGCTTCTGAACGGGCATTTAATGTTGGGAAGTGCGAAGGAAATCATCGTGAGTCAGAGAGGGGGATTTCGCCAGGGTATAGGGGTTAAGAAGTTCGTACTCGTAAGCCTAGGCAAAAAATGGATGGATCAGCGCCGCAGCAACTTCGAAATCCAAAGGGAAAGCTGCAAGATAGTGACGGAGGAATGAAAGCTTGAACGATTGATTTGGCCCAATGTTGTGCTTGGAGACGGATTGCTGGAAGAACTATGTACATAACTTATTCCTGTAGTTTGCTTGCAGACGGCTCTATACTGTTGGTCGTTAACTAATTGGTGAAGACCACCCCACGGCACCTCTGCGTCTTTTCCTGCAGTCAAGGCATAGGCTTAGAGCGCAAACGGACAGAGTCTATGTGGGTTAGGCAGCGTTCAGACTGCGCGACGGCAGCGCCTCGGTCGCGCGTTCGGCGCGATCGATGCGCATGCTTTCGACTGCATCGATCGCGTCGAACGCGCGACCAAAGCGCTGCCGTCGCGAAGTCTGAACGCCACCCGTAAAAAATGTCCTTTCACCCCTCCCAAAATACGTGCACGCCAACCGTTGAACCTGCGCTTCATTCTCGATCTTGTTCCACATAGTGGCGGGAAAAATGGAGAATTTACCAACAGCCTTAGCACTTAGCTCTTTCTTAGCAACCCAGCATCAGCCTTATGGTCAGCACTCTCTAAGTAGCACGATATGTACTCAGAAAAAGTGTTTCTACATTCGTCTCGATTCGTCGGACATTCTTTGATAACTGAATCGCTATGAAATGCGTGGATGCGGTTCTTGAGATCGTACCAAGTTTGTACTGAACTTAATTCGTGTGCGACACTCTTATTCCCAAATATTCCCACTCACTGGTCAATTCCATCGTTTCCCTCGTTTTGACATTTTCTGCTTTCTTGGCGCTGACAAACTTCTAAGAAGTGAGGGCGCATCTGTGTCCTCCTCTGCACAGCCTTGGGCTGCGTTCATGCTTTGCGACTCGCGTTTTGGAAGAGTGAAAAGCGAAAGCGTTCGAGCGAAAAGAAATGCATAGGTATCGAGCGGCGCCTAGGGCGGCGATTCGCTCGGAACTCCGACTCCCAGAGCTCTAACGACGGGCGCCGATCGATATCCATACTTTCTTACTCTCTCATGGTCAGTTCGCCAGTTTTCTCAAGGCATCGATCGTAGGCTATGCCTCAGCAGGGCAGACGGTTGGCGGTCGGCGCTGTCAACGGTGGCAAAGTAGACAATGGGATTGAGGTTCAGAAAATCAGAGAGTATACAGCACCCCCGGGAATAGCGCTTGAAATTAAGTGTATTGGGCCAACCCCTCGGGGTGGCAGCCCACCCATAGCTTCCTGACTGGCTTACGGTATGCCCTACTGTGTGCGCCCACGGCGCGACACATTTATTTTTCACGCGCATTTTACGGGGGTGCTGTATGCACCCTGAATTCCAGACCTTATAAACTTGTAAGCCGACAGCCGTGTGCCCCATACCTCGGAACA